CGCTGGGGAATTGCCCCGGCATGGTGCCGGGGGGCCGGGGTGCGCGGGACAGACAATAACAAGGAGGGAATCTGGGTCAGGGCTTTGGCTGGGCTGCGCTGGGGCTGCGGGGAGGGTTGGCTGGTCCGGCAGCTCCGGGAAAAGACATTTCTTGGCATCCTCTGGCTCCGGAGGGTGGGAAGGGGATGGGTAGCGATCCCGGGGAACCGCGGTCCCGCACGGCTCCCCCACGGGAACCGGGGTGCTTGTCTCAGGACCTGCCTCACCCCTCCCTGACACTGGCTTTGGTGCCTGGTGACAAGGGGTGTAATAACGCCAGAGAGCTTTGCCGAGGACGGTTAATGAGTGTTTGCGACGCGCTTTGACTGCCCGGGGCAGGAGTCGCTGCTGCAGTCGATCCCGGGCGATTCCTTAGCACGTCGGACGATTTGTGGGAGCGGGGTGCTGTGAACCGCCACCGCCGTATGGCCCCACGGGAATATAGCAAACGATAAAACGTTTTGGAGAGGAAAAAAAAAGCTGTTTAAGCTGCAAGTTCGAGGTTTTCCTGCCTGCCAGCACAGGGACAGGAGGCTTGGGGTTATTTCTGAGTAGCTGTCTGGGGGGGCCCAGCTGCCCCCCCCCCAGACCCGCCGGGGTGGGGATGCCCCATCCAGCTCAGCACAGGGAGGGAAGGGATTTGTTCGTGGGATCACAGAGAGCTCCCGGTTCCTGGACCTGGGGGTTTGAGCTCCCGCTGCGGCTGTGCCGCTGGTGTTTGATGCACGCTCTGCGCCGAAGCGACGGCACGGTGGTGAGAACACCCGATCCTCCCCGAATCCCCCCCGAGCTCCCCGCGGCAGGCTCTGCCGGGGCTCTGCATTCCATCCTTGCCTGGATCTTGACCTTGGGCCACGTGCGGAGGGGGGCACGGCTGCCCAGCACCCCCCCAGCTCACCGCCGTGCTCAGACGCTCCTCCATTTTTCCCATGACCTTTTAGCATCCTCTGTGGCTTAAAGATGTACTGAGCGCGGGGTTTTTCTCCTACCCCTTGGGTCAGGTCGTGTGTTTTGCACTCGGGCTCCTTCCTCTTTCCAGCGTGCCAGGCAGGCAGGGGGAACTCCGTCTAGAGGTGCTTTCATTGCTTTTTTTTTTCTTTTATTTTTTCCTACTTCTGCTTTTCGAGATGAGCAGATGGAGACGGAGGTAATTCTGCGAAGCTGTAAACAAGCCGGGCTGAGCTATAAATACGTCGGCTTTTGGGATGTGTCCTGCCCAGCCTGCCTGCTCAGACTGGGCACAAAAACCTGGGGTCTGGCCAACGCCTCTTGCTTCGGAGGAGGGTGATGCGGCGGGGTGCGGCTGGGATTTGGGCGAGGATAGGGACGGGGTGGTGTTGGGAAACAAACGCACCTCTCCGTCACAGCCTGGCCGGGGGGAGCTGAGCACGGGGCGGCTCAGCCCACATCCCCGGCTCTTAGCTGGGTGCTTTGGCCAGACGCAGGGGTGCCGAGAGCATCACCCAAATCTGGCCAGAGCACCCAGCCTCCGCGGCTGGGGGCTTTTCATAGCAAAAGTGCCCATTGCCCAGCGGTTCCCCATGGGGGGGTCCAACTTAGTAGCCCCCGGGGCTGGGCAGGGGCCTGTGGAGCACTGTCCTGCCTGGGACGGAGCCGGCACTGGCATAATTAGCACCCTCCGCAGCCCCAGGGATGTCACCTGGTGACGAGCACCCTCCCACCGACCCTCCGGCACCCCCGGGCCAGCTCTTCTGCGCCGTCACTGGGACCCAACCCCTGACCCCAGGGACCCCCCACCGCCCTGGTGATGCCACGGGTGCGAGGAGGTGCGGGTGGGACAGGAACGTCACCCCACACCGCATCGCTGCCACTCACAGGGTGGTCACGGTGGTGCTGGTGGCCCTCAGCGTGGTCTGGATCCCCATCCTGCAGAGCTCCAGCGGTGGCCAGCTCTACATCTACATCCAGGCCGTCACCAGCTACCTGGCTCCTCCTGTCACCGCTGTCTTCGTCCTGGCCGTCTTCTGGCCCCGAGCTAACGAGCAGGTACATGCCTGGGGTGGTGCTGGGGACACCTCAGGGACACGGGGTGGTGCCGATGCCTTCCTGCCCACCCTGCTCCCAAGGACCCAGGGGGGCTTGGAGGAATTGGGAGAAGGAAGCGGGGAGGTGATGCCGGAGGGGCTGGGGAGAGGAACCGAGCCTGGTCGGCATTTCCCCGGGGACCTGGTGGGTGGCTGGTGCGAGGAGGAGGAGGAGGAGGAGGTAGGTGCTGCCATACATGGTTGCCAAGCGTGCATGGCCGACGGGGCTGGCAGGGGACATCCCCTGCGGATGGGGTGCAGGTTGGGCCAGGGCTTGGCTGGCTGGGGTGAGGGGTGCTGTCCCAACAGGCAGGGGCTGCTCGACCCTCTCCCAGGGCTGGCCGGAGAGAGTGGCTCTCTGGGGACGTTTGTTCCCCCGTGGGGTGGCTGTCCCCCTCCAGCCACCCCCCCGTGCCCCTTTGCTTTGCAGGGAGCTTTCTGGGGCCTGATGGCAGGGCTGGTGCTGGGGCTGGCCAGGATGGGGCTGGAGCTGGCATACCCCGCACCCCGCTGCA